AACCACCTAGTACTCGTCCCCTCTTTTATCCTTTTCACACTCTGACCTTTCTGAAGACCAGGAAGTAAAGCAGGAGGTGGAGAGAGGGATGTGTTCTGGAAGGTTCCCCGGTCCTTGGGTGGTTCTAGTTTCATCTTCCTCCATTGGTCTCACAGCCCTCGCTGTACAGGTCTGCCGGGCGGGGCCACAGCGAGGCTTCTTGTAACCAGGCCTTTTTGTTTATTTTATGGAGAAGACTGAGTGACAAGGAGGGAGCCCATTTAGCTGGGTCAGTAACCAGTCCAGGCTGTGCCGACTGTCCTCAGGTCTCTCTAGAAGGAAGGAACCACCAGCAAAGGGGGATGTATAAACGGTGTCTTTATTGGTACAGTCTGAGGGGTAGGTAGGCACCATCACATGGTTCCGCTCCCCTTTGCTCCCAGTCTCAGCAAATCCAGCTCATCCCCTCCACAGTGGGGCTGGATAGGGGCTCCAGCCCCAGGCCTCTACATCCATGGGTACACTGATTACAATGTCCCAGGGAAGTCCTGAGCGAGGCCACATGCCCACTTCTGGTCTGGTTGCCAATACAGTGGAGAGTGACTTAGAGGAGGATGTGGCTGGTGCAGAGGGACTAGTAGGGGCTCAAGGTTTCACCAACAGTCCCCGGGGTGGTATTCCAAGCCACCTGCATCTGCCCTGGCAGGACTGCCTAAGGCACAGTGACGGGGCTGTGTGCCATGATGTGGGCTGGAATTCTGGGGATCTGACTCCATCAGGACATGTGGCTGGCTGACAGACAGCCCACGAAGCAGCTATTTTTTCCTCCGGGAGACCCCGGAGTCACTGCTGTTGCTGTTGGGGGCTGGGGCAGCCCGCTCAGCGGCAGCTCTGGGATCCTTTCTGGGAGCCTGCTTCCGTTTTTCCTCTCTAGACGGTTTTGAGGACTGGAGCGGGGAGGGGGCAAGTAGGGTCTGGACAACTCGGACAGTCACCACCGCCCCCAAGAGCCCCCAGAGCAGGATGGGAGGCTCCAGAGGAGACAGCTGCGTCCGAATCCAGTTCAGTGTCTGAGCTAGAGCATTGCCGGGACTTCGGGTCCGGAGCGGACTCTTATCCTATGGAGACAAAGCCAAGACAAGCCCATTAGATTTGCTCCGGCAACAGCCACGCACCCTGCTACCTCCCACAGTCCAGCCGACTCCTTCACACCTGAAGTCCAAACTGTCGGAGCAGTGTTTCCAGCTTTGGGTCCCCCAGGGATACAGCTGGGAAGAATTCCTCTACCCACTGACGGTGCCACCACTGGCTGTAACAGAACTGGACAGTCAGCATGTGGCTATAGCCCAGGCCTTGGCACCCACCCATCATCCCAGCCTTACCTCTGCTCCCCAGGCTTTGAGAACCAGTACTTATAGTGTTGGGCCCGCAGGTAGGTGGGTGGCTGCTCATGAAAGGGGTACTGGGCAACACGGTTCTGGACCAGGCGGATCACTGTGGCAGGGGAGGGGAGGTTGACATGGCTCTGAACTTGTCCTTCCCTTCCCAGCCCCTCTCCCGGCCTATCCCTCACCTGGCTCCTTGCCCTGCAGGAGACGCAGCACCAGGCTGGTGAACCAGGGGCTCTGTGTATGTGGGCCCAGGGCTGCAAACCACATCTGCCAATCAAGGCGCGGCTGGTGGGGTATCAGGAACGGGGGCGGTCGGCTCACATTCCCAGGTTTGTACATGAATTCTATCTCCTGGAAGATGGACATATGGTTAGCTGGGATGGCTGGACTTGGTTCCCTTGACCCTGACATCCTTCGGGAGGGCTCACTGTCCAATGCTGTCCATCATAGCTGCCCTCCAGCACCACTTCGGGCCGTCCACCCAGACCAGTCATCCGACGGAAGAGGCCGTATGAGCTGGCCAGCTGCAGGTGCTCCACGGAGCTGTACAGGCGATGAGCCCCAGTCCAGAGACGCCCGTGGGTCCCCAGCTCCATATAGGAGTAAGGTACCTGCAAGCAAGAGGGTAATAGCTCAGTGCCGCCCCATCTTCCCCCAACCCCGTTCTCCACAGGGCTACCTACCAGGCTGATCAAGAACACGACCACCGTGGCAGTGCCCAGGATGGAGAGCTGGATACTGGCAAAGAACTTCCGTAGCCATCCTTGCACCCGGGTCCACCTGGGGACGGGGGGCCCAGGTACGGTCAGGCCAGGCCTGAGCTGAGAGCAGCCTCTTCCCCCCGCCTTCAGGTACACACATACCTCCAGAGGGCAACGAGCAGCTCCCAGGCCAGGGAGGCTGCCCCGAGCCACACAGTGGGCAGAGTTACCATCTTCAGCCACTGGAAGAACTGGTGGAAGGTGAAGGCTGCCAAAGGAGACTGTGATCAGGGGCTGACCCAGCCCTTGTCCTGAGATCCCCAAGTTGGCACTTACCCAAGGCCTTGTGCTTGCTAGGCAAACGCTCTACCACTGAGCTAAATCCTCAACCCCCCAACTTACTGGTTTTAGAGAGGACGATATGCTGCTGCCAGTCAACCTCCAGGCCAAAGTAGTGCACGGTGCCATAGGCCAGCAGCCCATAGACGGTCAGTTCCAGCAGTAGGGACAGCATGGTCAGCAGGGTCCTGGGCCAGGCTATGGGCAGGACAGTCGCAGGTTGGCTGAGGAGCTACAACCAAGGAAGGGGCTGGGGTGGAGGTGGAACAGGGGTTCTTGGGGAGTACCAGGCAGATGATATCAGTCTGATGGTCATGACAGGATGACACTCACAGGTGGGCATCTTCTTGGGGCATCTGAGGCCAGGCTCAGCAGACAGGTGACGGTCATCCAGGAGGGACGTGGTAAGCACCAGGGTTAGCAGGTTGAAGAAATTGTAGTTGCCAGTAATGATAATCAGGACTTGTAATAATACCTGCAGGGAAGGTCTGCGATCAGATCTACGGCAGGCTGTTCTTCCTGGACCCTTCTGACCTAGAGACTGACATTTTCATAAAGGCTACACGCAGCCTTGATCCGAGTAGCGCATCCCTCTGCCTGCCATGCTTTCTCAACAGCACCCACATCACCTGGCCACTCCCGGGGCTGCTCATTCTGCTACAGGACTCACTGGCCAGTGGAAGGCCACACTTTCTTCTACCCACCTGAGCATAGAAGGCAGTCAATCGCAGGCGGCGAATGGGGGCAAAGAACAGAGGGGGCACAGCAATCTCGATGAGGAAGGTGGCCACCACACTGAGCTTGTGCAGCCAGACTGGCAGGTGGTGGGCAAACCAGGCAGCCGGGGTGGGCAGGCACTGTGTCTCATAGTGGTAGGTGAGAGCTGCAGGTAATGGGTGGGGAGGTCAGGGTTGAGGAGAGCCTCCGGACCACCCCAGCTTCAGGCCCAGGCCCTCACCAGTGAGTCCCCACCACGCAGGGCAGCGGCTGGTCAGCTTGACCACACCAGAGGCAAACATGAGCCGAAACAGCAGCCAGCGCACGAGCCAGAACGGGAGGTTTTCGAGGGGCGAGGCCCCTGCTGATCCACCCTGGGGGGCCTTGTGGTTGGAAGGCTTCCTCAGTGGGGCTACTAGTATAGCCAGGACGCCCGTCTCCAGCAGCAGGGAATCCCTATAGGGAGAAGAAATATCATAAAGGGTTCTTCTCCGTTAAGACTGCTTCCCTCGCAGGGTCCTCCCCGGGAGAGGCAAACATCCCTTGCCCAGCCTCAGGCAGCGCTGGCCCAGGAGTCACTCACCACTGGAAATAAAGGAACACTTGGCCCACCTGTAGGGAGAGGAGCTGTTAAAAGAGCCATAGTGTGTCTGCTTCATTAGGTGAGGCAGAGTGGGTGGATCAGACAGAGGCTGAAGTTGTTAAGAGTCTCACTTGCCTGGCAGACAGACAGGTAGGCAGCCCAGAGCAGCAGGTAGATGAAGGGATGTCGCATTGAGTTCAGGAGCAGGGCACCCAGCCCTAGCACGGTGCCCAGCAGGGTCAGTAGATCCAGACCCTGGGCAGTATCCAGACCGAGTCTTGGTGCCTCCCATAGCAGCGTTGGTGTTTCCCACAGCTGCTGCCACCGACCCTTGCCTTGGGGCCGCAGTGTTCTCCGAGCAGGAAGGATGCCCTCGGGGCCATAGAGGCCTGTGGGAGGGCACGTCAGTGTCTTCTCAGACTAAGTCCATCCGAATCAAGCCCTGAAGATGCCCCACCACCAGCTCCAGGCATGCAGATGCCATATTGTCAGGACCTCTAAATGCTCCCCCGCATCCCGCGCACCCCGGGTTGTGCCTGCAGATGTTCCCACCCCAGGTAGGGCTTGCTCTACCAGACGCTCTCTTTCAGGTTAGAAATTGTTGACCCCCAACCCCAGGTTCAGAAGACCTAACTCTGGGTCAGCACCTTCCGCTGGAGTCCAGGTAGAAGAAATCTATCTCCTACTCCCTTGGGGTTCTGCCCTAATCTGGATGTAGAGAATCCGAATAGTAACGGGAAACCGACCCTTGCACATCTTTTCTCCCTCCACACTCTTGCGGCCTGCAGTACACAAACTACTGCCCCCCTTGGCCTGGACCTCACACCCGCCTCGGAGAGCTCGTACTCCGGGTGAAGGGAGGGATGATACCACGTGTGAGTGTCCCACTGCCGGCGCCCTCACCTGGGATCTGGGTGTAGAGGGACGCAAAGGCAAACGTGTAGACAGCGGCCACACCCTGTAGGAAAAGCTGCTGAGGGACGCGGGAACTCGCCATGTCCGCTACGCGGTCCGCCAAAGCAGTGCCCTCCGGTGCCCCCCCCCCTCCCAGCCCCGCCTCTGGCCCACGCCCCAGTTGGAATCCGTCGGGTTTGGCCACGGCGCTCCACCCAGTGCCCAGGAACTCACCGCTAACTGGCCCAGAAACTTAGTCTCGGCGGGTCCTCCAGGGCCCGCCCCGGACGCGTAACCACGCCCCTCGCCGTAGGCCCCGCCCCGCCCGCCCCGCCCGCCCCGCCCCTTTCCCTCGTGCGCCTTCCTTCTTCCACTTTGAAACTGGGGCCCGCGTTACGTCATAGGCGTGCGCGCCGCGGCCGTGTGCGTACTTCCTGGGCGGGAACACCAAAATGGCGCCAGAGCCAGTGGCGGGTTGAGGCTGCTGGCCTTATCCGGAGCCAGCGTACGGTCCCGGGCCTCTCGTCCCTCTCTGGACATGGAGGATGTGGAGGTGCGCTTCGCTCACCTCTTGCAGCCCATCCGGGATCTCACTAAGAACTGGGAGGTGGACGTAGCGGCACAGCTGGGCGAGTATCTGGAGGAGGTGAGGGCGGCGGGGCAATGGCACGAGCCTGGGGACCCAGGCGTCACTGCCACCCCCGCCTCCAGGTCTGTAGCCGTCTGGTGCTTTGTCCTCAGTTTCTCGGTTTGTTTGTTTTTGTTTTTTCCTCCCCCCAACTCCAGCCTGCCTCTCAAAACTTTCTTCGGTTAGGGTCTCCTGGAGCTGTCAATTTCAGGTCTCTTACCCGTGAACGAGCTGTGAAATCGATTTGGTTGGATGATAACCTTCTTCTTCAATAAATACATTATTTCTGCTTTCTTTTCGGGGTGCAGTACATTGGGAAGCATCACTTTCGTTTTCCTTTTTTGGGGGGGTGCTTGGGATTTAAGCTAGGGCTTTGTACGAGCTTTTGGCAAGCGCTCTACCACTGAGCTTTTTTTTTTTTTTTTAATCCCTTTTTCCTTCTTAAGACAGGCCTTAAACTCGAATCTTCCTGCCTCAGTATCTCATTTTGCGAGTACTAATCGACCCTACTATGCCTGGACTCTTGACTGTATTTGAGAGATCTGGATCCCCGAAGGGAAAGGGATTTCGTATTTTAGACCTCAAGCTCCGCCCATGTCTTTTCCCTGGTGTGTCGTGACGCACCCATACCCGGGGCTCTTAACTTGAGCCAGCTTTGTCCCGAAGGGTCCGCCCCTAGTATGTGGCCCTGCCCCTCGCTGTAGTCTAGCCTATCAGCATTTCACGCCTCCATTTTTAGCAGCAGTGTCTAGGTCTCTTTAGGCTCCGTCTGCTCCATTTCTGCATTTTTCACTCCTCAGCCCAACACAATCGGATTCCACTACTAAATAGTTACAGATCTCTTGTGTTGAACGGTAGTGGTTTTTCATCTCACAAAATCCAAAAGATGCTTGAAATGCCCTGTAATTCAGTTGGAGAGCATTTGTTGGTCTGACAAATTCCTTTTTGAAACAGTGCAAATAGGATTTCTATTTCACCGCTTCGTTTTTCTCTCCTAAGTGTTGAGGCTTCCCGGGGTGGAGCCTTCTTTCCCTTAAAAATAGAAAATCTTGCGTGATTTAAAATACGGGTTTTCAGCTCCAAGTCGTGGGATACACCCATACCGCTACTACTTGTTGCCTCCAAATCTGTTCTCGAAACTCTCTTGGCATTTTCTGGGATGTTACATGAGCCCTTGGGGTTTTATTTAAAGTGGAGCTTTTGATTTTTGGTTCAAATTCTAGTCCTGTTTTGGTAAAGTTTTGATGTTCAACTAAAGGTGGGAATTAAGAGATGTAATAAGGCTTCATATCCCACACCAAGTTGACCTATGAATTCTGTTAGTTATACAGCCAAAGTATCACATTATGTCTGGTCTAGGCCTATTAAACCTAGATATTTAAGACCTTCTCATCCAAGTTCCTAGATTGGACATCATCCAGTAGCTAGAGCTAGTGTGAGTCTTAAAAATTAAAACGAGCTGGGCCATGGCACACACCTTTAATCCCAGCACTTGGGAGGCAGAGCCAGGCGGATCTCTGTGAGTTTGAGGCCAGTCTGGTCTACGGAGTGAGATCCAGGACAGGCACCAAAACTACACAGAGAAACCCTGTCTCGAAAAACCAGAGAGAGGGCGGGGGGAGTCGACAGGGCCGGGAGTGCAGGGAACTGGAGAGATGGTTCATCAGTTAAGAGCACTGGCTGCTCTTCCAGAGGACTCAGGTTCAATTTTTTTTTTTTTTTTTTTTTTTGTGGTGGGGGATTGAGACAGGGTTTTTCTGTGTAGCTTTGGAGCCTGGCCTGGAACTCACTGTGTAGACCAGGCTGGCCTGGAACTCACAGAGATCTGCCTGGCTCTGCCTCCTGAGTGCTGGGTTTAAAGGAGTGTGCCACCACCGTCCAGCCTCCAGGTTCAATTCCAAGTGTCCACATGAGGGATCACAGCTGTCTGTAACCCCAGTTCCAGGGGATCCATTGCTTTCATCTGGCCTCTGTTGGCACCAAAAGTGGTGCACAGACATATGCAGGCAAAACACCCACAGAATTTTTTAGAAAATTAAAATCAGGGCTAGAGTGATGACTCTGATTAAGAGTACATGCTGCTCTTGCAGAAGACCTGGGTTTGGTTCTCAGAACCCTAATGCAGCTCACAGTGGCTTGTAGCTCTACTTCCAGGGGTTCCAGGACCATCTTCCGGTTCCATGGACACCTGTAAGCACATGGCACACACACATAAATGCAAGCAAACACATATCTTAGAAAAAAAATTTATAGTCAGTTTTAGTTTAAAGCCCTCAGGTTTTCATTGCATTCATTGCTCAGTAGTTTTAGCTTTACCCACGGATGTCCTGTACCTTTTGTGCGTTTAAAAATTTTTTATTTTAATTTTAAAAATTAACATGATTATGTGGGGGTGGCGCATGCATACCAGTGTGCTTGTGGAGGTCTCTTCTTTCCTTCTACCACATAGATACTTAGTCATCAGGCTTCATGGCAAGCACATTTCTCCACTGAGCGATCTCACTGCTCAAAGGCTGCATACATTGTAGGCAAGTGCTCTGTCGTTAAGCCACACCTCTAGGTGCTCTTCATGTTTTTTGAACAGTCAACCTATGGCATCCCATGCTTTTTCTTGGCTAAAGGGTATTTGTGATTTCTTGTCCTATAAGTGACTGTTCTATTTATGACTGAGTCTTTTCATCCTTTAACTTTTTTATTATTGTCTTTATTTATTTATCCATTCATTCATTCATTCATTCATTCACTCATTCATGTATTTTGGTTTTTTGAGAGGGGGTTTCTGTGTAATTCAGGCTGTCCTGGAACTCACTCTGTAGACCAGGCTGGCCTCAAACTCAGGGAGATATGTCTGCTTCTGCATCCTGAGAGCTGGGGTTAAAGGCATGTGCCACCACACCCAGCCCAGATCCTTTATGTCTGAAGTGTCAGTTAACCATTCTATCCAAAATAATTCTCTTTGTTATAACAATGTCACAAGGTATTCTTCAACTTTCTAGTTTGTGGTCTGTCTCCACCCTACAATGTAAATTCTAAAGGGGCAGAGACTGTGTATGATTTCTTCTACTTTGTAGAATGCCTGACGCATAGATGCAGGATAAATCATTATTAAGTGGGGGCTGGAGAGATGGCTCAGAGGTTAAGAGCACTGGCTGTTCTTCCAGAGGTCCTGAGTTCAATTCCCAGCAACCACATGGTAGCTCACAACCATCTACAATGAGATCTGGCTCCCTATTCTGGCCTGCAGACAGAACACTCACTGTATACATAATAAATAAATAAATCTTAAAAAAAAAATCCTTATTAAGTGAACATGGGCCCTGATGATTAACTTACACTGCACAGTTGGCTGAGAAATGCCAAGAACAGTGTTAAGAGGTCGTACTGGCTGGGTAGTGGTGGCACACGCCTTTAATCCCAGCACTTGGGAGGCAGAGGCAGGCAGATCTCTGTGAGTTTGAGGTCAGCCTGGTCTACAGAGCTACAGAGAGAATTCCAGGACAGCCAAGGCTACACAGAGAAACTCTATCTCAAAAAAAAACAAAACAAAAAAAACCAACCAAACAAACAAAAAAACACCAATAGCACGTAAAGCAAACAGTAATTTATGCTTTTATGCTTGAGATAGAATTTCTAGGGCTGGAGGGATGGCTCAGCAGTTAAAGGCTAGGCTTACAACCAAAACTATAAGAGATAGAATTTCTGCTTTCTAGGGAGAAATCCTAGATACCAAGGAGGAACCACATTGTTGGGTATTAGGTGCCTATTTGGCCTAAGCACTGTTTCTTTGTGTTTTATATAAAGCAATGTAGTTTTTACAACAAAAACTGATATAGTCACCAGAGAGATGAAATGATATGCTGGAAGTCACAGCTCATAGTGGACAAAGCAGATCTGTTCCCCCTACTGCCTGTATCTGGGTGTTGTCATAAATGGGTGATAGATTGGAAAGAAAAGGTTAGGATACTATGAAGACTTTGACTGAGGGACCTGATTTTATTTGAAGTAAAAGGAGTTGCCATGTCTGATAAGCTGAAAATTATGTAGAGGGGACATTGTGCTTGCCTTAGTGGAAAGCATAAGAGTGCAGCTTACATGGGAAGTCTGGTAGCTGGAGGAGACTGGGTTTAAAGACCTCCCGTGGAAGCCTTGTTTAGAGTTTCAGATCTTTCCCTCCGAGTGGCAGAAGGCCTGTAAACATACGGAAGATGGGGTCGGGAGGAGCCCAGTTAGAGGTGAGGCTGGGCCAGAGCAGTAGTCGTGGGAGAGGAATGTGGAAGTGGTAAGGGGCTGATCCTAAATTGAACTGACAGGTGAGCAAAAGAGGAGAGGAGCTGAGGTCCTTAAGTTTCTGGGGAGGAGTAGGGATGCTTAGAGTCCTGCATGACCTGTTCCTTTGACTCTTGTTTATAAAAATCTAGATCGTTGAATAAGACAGTTGGACATAGGTGTCTGGGCAGTAGTAAGAGTGCCTGTAAGATCGTGAGTTCAATCTCCAATACCTTGAGCATTTCTGTGCCGTATCTTGATTTTTTTTCCCCTTTTATTTTATTTTACAATACCATTCAGTTCTACATATCAGCCATGGGTTCCCCTGTTCTCCCCCCTCCCACCCTGTATCTTGATTTATTTATGTATTTATTTATTTTAGATCCCCAGTAGGTACCTGTAAATGGAACCTCAGAGCCTCGGGGAGAAAGTTATTCTGAGGACAGATTTGGCAGTTGTTGACATGTGTGTGGCTGGTCGCTTGCATATGATAGAAGGTGTTCAGTGGGGAATAAAGAGCCAAAACACGGCTAAGGGCCAAGGTTCACAGGCCAAGGAGGGAGGGTTGCAGAGAGAGAACTACTTAGGGCACCGTTTCCTCGATTTTCCAGTCAAAGGAAAGAGTGTACTGTATTTGTCTCCTTTTCCTTCTCTTGGGGTAAAGGGTCTTTGTGCTGGAGCCTGTCCCCGTTGGTTTTGACCTGGGTGGGTACAATGTGAGGTGCTGGTGACAGCTGGTATGCAACTTTAGCCATCATGGTCAGTATCCTTTGGGGACCTCTCTCTTCCAAAACACTTGGTCTCAAAGGATCCAGGATGTAGGGGGGATCACAAAGATCTAGCTTTCCTCTAGAAATACCCAGAGGCCACTGGCAAAGTCTAGTAGACTTGGAGCTACGTTTGTGGGTGGTGGGTTGAGCTGCCCTGGAGGAAGTGAGCATAGCCTTCTGCCCTGGCATCTTGCTTTCTTTGATTCTGTCTCACTATGCAGCGTAGGTGGAACTTGAACCCTACTCAGTGTCCCAACTGCTGGGATCAGAGGCATGCCCACCGAGTCTAGCTCACTAATGTTTCCTCTTGCAGCTGGACCAGATCTGCATTTCTTTTGATGAAGGCAAAACCACTATGAACTTCATTGAGGCAGCACTGTTGATCCAGGGCTCAGCTTGTGTCTACAGTAAAAAGGTGGGTTCCACAGACTGCTGATCTTGGTGCTTTAGTGTTGAGCGGGAGTAACGTGATTGGCTTCTTCTGGGCCAGCAGTGGTGTCCATCTATCTGTAGCCTGCTTTCACTGTGGCTCACACTTAGGATTCCTTCACAATTTTCAATACCAAAGAAAAACTGGAGTTTATTGTTTGCTTTTTTGAGACACGTCTCATGCATCCCAGGCTGATCTTGAACATTATGTCTACCTGAGGAAGATGACCTTGAACTTCTGATCCGTTTGCTTCTACCTCCTGGAGGGCTAGTATGACAGGTGTCAGTCACCATGTCTAATTTTTGCAGTCCTGTGGTGGGGGTTGGGGTAGGGTGAGGGGTGGTGCTTCATGTATGCTAGGTGAATGCTTCGCCAGCTAAACAATATTCCCAACCTGCTTGTTTTTGAGGCACGATTTTATTAGCAGACTGGCCTTGAGCTTGCTCTTAGCTGAGGCTTGCCTTGAACCCCTGGTTCTCCCTGCCTTTGCCGCTTAAGTGTTTGGATAACAGGCATGTTCTACAATGTGTCCAGTAAATTTGAGTTTAAAATGGCACTACCAAGAGGTGATGGTTCAGTTGGCAAAAGTCTGCTGTATGAACATGAAGACCTGAGTTTGTATCCTCGGCACCCGCATAAAAAGCCAGGTGTAACCCTAGCGGTATGGTGCGGGAGACTTGTGGAGCCCTGGAGCTCACTAGCCAGCCAGCCTAGCTAACCAGCGGTCTTCTCAGGTCCGGCCTGAAAATAAGGTAGAGGGCAGTCGGGGAAGACATCTGAGGTTAACCTATGGCTTCCTTAACCATTTGTACAATGTACATGTGCATCTGCACACGTTTGTACACAGCCCCATACAAACACATATAGACAACATGAATGTACAGAATGGTATGGCTAAGCTAGAGGTGTAATTCAAGTGTATGACGCTCATCTAGCATACAGGAGGCCCTGGTTGTCATGCCTAGCACCAAGTCAATAAATAAAATGACCAGGAAGAGAGGGAGGGTCAGGTGTGCTGGGGGCTCTGTTGTCCCTCATGTACGTAATTATCTGTAGCTCAGGCGCAGTGTGTATGAGCTCTGCTTTCCTTGCCTTCCACATGTGGATACTATGCAGTTGTGCTGTGCCATCATTTAGAAAAACTTCAGGCCTCACCCTATGCTGGGACCTCTGGTTCTATGGAGGAGACCAACAAGAAGCAAATGAAAGATCTGTCAGGCAGGCCCACGTGGCTTACGTTTGGCAGGCCCACCCGAGACCCCGAGCACCCTCCTGTGGGTGGAGCAGTAGAGCTAGGAGGAGGAGCTGCAGCTGGCCTGGGGCACTGGGCAGGAGGACAGTGGGGACCATGTGTGAGCAGTCTGGGTCTGAAGCATAGTGGGCACCCATCGTGACATGGCCATGACCTGTGTCAAGGAGGCTGTGCTTGTAGATGTGTGGAGTATGGGAGAGCGGAGAAGTAGAAACCTCAACTGTCAAAAGTAATTCTGAAGGACTGGTTTGACTTGAGAATTGTTGTTGTTGTTGTTGTTGTTACATATGGGTGTCTGTGCATGTCTGTGCCCAGGAATGTGTAACTCTGGAGTTAATGCCTGTGTCTTTACTTGCTCTCTCTCCACTTTCATTTTTTGAGTCAGGGTCTCACCTGAAGCTCACTGGTTTGTTTGGCTGGCTGACCAGTGAACTTGAGGGCTTCTTCTATCTCTGCTACCTCAGCCTTCCCCAAGGCTGGGCTTACAAGCATGCACTGCCATGTTTGGCTTTTTAACATGGATTCTGGGGATCCAAACTCAGATTCATGTGTTTGCATGTCAGGTACTTATGCATGTGGGTGTATGCATTTGAGTGTAGGTACTCCCAGAGACCCGAGGCAACTGATTTTCCTGGAGCTGGAGTTATAAGTGGTTGTGAATAGCTAATGAGAGTGTGGGAACCAAACTCAGGTCCTCTGAAAGAACAGCAAGCACTCTTAACTGCTGAGCCATCTCTCCAGCCCCAGAGAATTATTTTTATGTTTATATTTCAGTGTTTGTGTGTGTGTGTGCACATGTGTGGTTTGTATGTAGGTGAACATGTGTGGTTGCCTAAATATGTAGGTCAGAAGTTGATATAGGAATTGTTTACCTTTTTTTTTTTAAGATTTTATTTTTGTCAGGTGTGGTGGCACATTCCCAGCACTCTGTGAGGCAGAGATAGACAGATCTCTAAGTTCAAGGCCAGCCTGGTTTACAGAGCAAATTTCAGGACAGCCAGGGTCACACAGAGACCCTGTCTCAAGAAACAAAACAATATTATTTTATGGGTATGAATGCTTTCTCTGCATGTTTTTACGTGCACCGTATGTGCTTGGTGACCTCAGAAGTAAGATCGCCTGGAACTGGAGTTATGGTTGTGAGCTGCCATCTGGATGCTAGGAACAGAACTGCTTTTGACTGCTGAACCATCTGTCAGCTCTCTCCGTTATTCTTCGACAAAGTCTAACTGAACCTGGAGCTTGCTGTTAGAGCTGGACTGGCTAGCCAGCAAATGCCCAGGATCTGCCTTCCCATCCCAGTGCTGGGGTTACAAATGCATGCCACCTACCCAACTTTTTCTGTGGATGCTCAGGATCTGAGCACAGCAAGCATCTTACTCACTGAGCAGTTTATTCATTATGCTTGTTCGTTTTTAGACAGTAGCTTGGCACGTAGCCCAGGCTGGCCTTCAGTCTAAGGTTCTCCTGCCTTAGCCTTTGCATGCTGGAGCAGGTGTGTCAAGATATTTATTTATTTATTTATTTATTTATTTATTTATTTATTTATTTATTTGAGATGGGGTCTTACATTCTAACCCAGAACTTATTGTATAGCTTAGATTGGCATCAAACTCATGATAACCCTCCTGCTTCAGCCTCCTATGTGCTGAGGTTATAGGCATATGCCACCACTCTGGGTAGTGAGAATTATGTAATAGTAGTAAAACTGGCTGGGCTTGTACGGAGGTTTGGAAGTGATGGCCAGATGTTGATATGTACCGGTGTCTAATAAGAAAGGTTCTGGGCGGTGTTCACAAGCACCATTTCATTTGGGAACCTCCTTTCCATGTCCTTACTGCTTGCCTCTGGTTGCCAGGTGGAGTACCTCTACTCGCTGGTCTACCAGGCTCTTGATTTTATTTCTGGCAAGAGGTGAGTATTAGAAGTGAGCCAGGAGGAAGAGGCCTTCATCTTCTTAGCTGAACCCTGCTTGCAGCTCGGGAGGCTCCTGAAGTCTCCCAGGATGCTCTTGGTATGTTTTACTTTCTCAGGCGAGCCAAGCAGCTCTCTTTAGTACAGGAAGATGGGAGCAACAGAGCCGTCAACTCAGGAGCTCCCTATGAAACAGAGGATGAGGTGAGTTGGGGCATGTGGACTCTGCCCTGGGTGCTTGCCTGGCCCTGCTCCCATGAGTACTTGCGTTCTCCTGCAGCTCCTGTCCCTGGATGACTTCCCTGACTCCCGGGCCAATGTGGATCTGAAAAATGACCAGGCATCCAGTGTGAGTGTGCCGACCTTTGTGCGGTGGGGACAGCAGTCTTCTCAGTGTTACTCCGTGTAGAATTCAGAGCTCTTCCTCCCCCACCCTCAGGAGCTGCTCATCATACCCCTTCTGCCCATGGCCCTGGTGGCCCCTGATGAAGTGGAAAAGAACAACAGCCCCTTGTATAGGTATAACACTGTGCTAGCATGGGAAAGAGGGGCAGGAAGCCTGCCTGGGAGGGGTCTCTGTGGTAAGCCTGTTTTTGACCACACAGCTGTCAGGGTGAGGTCTTGGCCAGCCGGAAGGATTTCAGGATGAACACATGTACCCCCGGCCCCAGAGGTTCCTTTATGTTGGATCCAGTGGGATTGTGTCCTGTGGAGCCTCCAGATGTGTGCCCCATGCCAAGGAGCCGGAAAGGTAAGGCTTTGGAGGTGGGGGCTTAGTGGGAAGTAGATGAAGATCTTTTGGGAGACTACTGCTGGCTATCTTATGCCTGCGTCTCTGGCCTTAGAAGCTACCTCATACCACCAGCCTTTTCCACTGTGGATAGGTTGGCTAGAGCTTCTTTCTCCTTCATCTTTTCTTGTACCTTGATTACCAGCCAACAAGGTCATAGCTTAGCTCAGTACTGGGCTCTGGTATCTGGTGGCCTCCTTAATCCCAGACTTGGGGCCTGCTGGGTTCTGCTTTCTGCTGGCAATCCAAAGAGGCTCCTTTGGTACCAGTGGGGACCGTCCAGCGATGAGGCTGACCATGTCCAATATCTGTCTCCCAGATGCTGAGGATGTTGAGGAGCAGCCAATGGAAGTCTCTAGGAATGGGAGTCCTGTTCCTGTACTCTGCGTCTCCCAAGAGCCAGGTGAGAAGAGAGGATCAGGGAGGCAGCGCTAGGTGGAACTCCGACCTTGGATGCTCTCCGTTTCCTTAGCCTGTCTTACTTGCTTCCTCTTTGTTGGCTTTTGGGAACAGGCTTAGTGGTAGCTTATGTTGGCTCTCTGTGCTAGGGTGCAATCATCAGTGAGATTTGTTTTCCTGGGTCTTCTCCATGTGAACATAAATGGTAACGATAAGAATCAGGGTTGGGGCTGTAACTTGGAGCACTTGCCTAGCCATTTACAAAGCCCAGGCCTTAGCCCACAGCATAAACAAACAAATAAATAAGCAAAAACATAAATATTTGCCAAGAAATAAGGTAAACCAACCAAAGCATGCCAGTATGAGGACGAGACTATAAAGCCTTGTTCAGTTTTTCAAATGCTAAAGTGTGAAGCTGAGAGGAGAGGCTGGCCTGTCCAGCTTTTCTAGGAGCTGGCTATGAGCCTCCTACATGGGAGCTCCACCTGCTGCCTGGCCTCCAGCCTCTTTAGGGCTAACTGGTTTCTTGGTTCCTGCCCAAACTTTCTAGATGGCCCTATGCTCAGTGGTGGAGATGAGGATGCAGAGGATGTAGCAGAACTCCCAGAGGTTGCTCCAGAGACTGCAGAGCCCAGGACCTCACAGCAGGTGGGACACAGTGACCTGCAGAGCTCTAGCTGTCAGCAGAGCAAGCCCTGGTTCTGGGCAGAATTAACGTTCCGTGGGGACCACAGTGCAGGGTCTTGGCTCCTGTATGTCACATTGATGTCCCATCACTCTAGTTTTGTGTATCCTCTCAGGGAGTGTCTGCCCTGAAGCCTGGCCATCCTCCAGCCAGACTGTTTAGTGTACCTTCACATCCTTTTCCTCCGTAAGCAGAAGGGCAGTTGCTCCTTGAGGATGAACTGGCGTTCAAGGCTCTGAGCCCTGTGGGCCTCCCAGGCCCTGTGCTATCAGCTGACCCCGAGCTCCATGCTGTCAGGCTGCCATGAGAGAATGAGTGTGGAGGACTTTCTGCTGCCTCTTTCAGCCCCACGGGTGTGATCTATCGAGGGATGATTAAGAAACCCTCATTTATTGAACACAAACTACAAACAAAACAGAAGCTCTGAGGAGGCTGGGGTTGTATTTGAATGCTGGATTCTTGACTAGCCTATGGGAAGCCCTGAGTTTAATCCCCAGCATTGTGATATGAATACATTAAGAAACGAGGGGGCTGGAGAGATGGCTCAGTGTGTACTGATTTTGCAGACGGTCCAGGTTCGTTCCCAGCCGCCACATCAGGCAACTGATAACCACCTGTAACTTCACTGGCGATCTGGTGCTTCTGCCTCCACAGACAGGCGTCTGCACGCATATGTACATTAACTGCATCCCCACATACAGATTTTTATTTTATTTTATTTTATTTTATTTTATTTTATTTTTTGGTTTTTCGAGTCAGGGTTTCTCTGTGTAGCTTTGGAGCCTGTCCTGGAACTCACTCTAGCCCAGGCTGGCCTCGAACTCAGAGATCCACCTGCCTCTACCTCCTGAGTGCTGGGATTAAAGGCGTGCGCCGCCGCCGCCGCCGCCGCCGCCGCCGCCGCCACCACCACCACCACCACCACCACCACCATCCAGCCACATACAGAATTTTTAACTTGTAAAAATTTTTGTTTTGTTTTGTCTTGAGACAGGGTTTCTCTGTGTAGCCTTGCCTGTCATGGAACTCTCTCTGTAGACCAGGCTGGCCTTGAACTCACAGAGACCTGACTGCCTCTGCCTCCTGAGGGCTGGAATTAATGTCATGTGCCATTACCAACTGGCTTTTTTTTTTTTTTTTAAAATAAAACCAGCCAGGCAGGATCTTTCATGTTTAATGTAAGCATGAGGACCAGAGTTTGGATTCCCAGGAGCCCACATAAATGTTGGGTAGGTGTAGCGGCCTGCCTGGAATTCCAGTCTTGGAAGGTAGAGACATGATACCCAGAGCAAGCTGGCTAGCAAGACTAAACATGAGGGTGAGCTTTGGCTTTGATCAGAGACTCTGCCTCACTGAATAAGGGGAAGGAGACTTGAGAATGATTCTGAACATCCGCTTCAGCCTCCACATGCACTCATCCATGTGGGCAACCACACTCAAGCCAAAGACGAAGTTAGGTAATTATACACAACATACACAGAAAAGGGGATTACTTCTTCCAAAACCAACCTTTAGTATTTAGAAGGGAACATTAACATTTATGAATTCTGGGTGGATGTTGGAGTCTATTATTTTGGTTTGATTTGGTTATTGGAGACAGGGTCTCATTGTATAGTCCAGGCTAATCCTGAACTTGTGATCCTTCTGTCTCAGCCTCCCAAGTATTGGGACAAGTATGAGTCATCATGTCAGGTTATCATGTTCTCTCCTTGTTTATTTACTTACTTTTATTTATGGTGCTAGGTATTGTACCCACTGTATTGTACATGCTAGGTAAGCACTCTCTTGTGGAGTTACACCCCCCAGCAGTATTGTGATTTTAAAGGAACCATTTCCCTGATGACTGGTTCTCCTTAGGATTGTTTGTGTTTATATGCATATGGAGGTTAGAAGTCACCCTTGGGTTTCATTCCTCACAAGCTGCCCAACTTTTTGTTTTTTAAAGATTCATTTTTGTTAGCCAGTTGGTGGTGGCACACACCTTTAATCCCAGCACTTGAGAGGTAGAGGTAGGCGAATCTCTAAGTTCAAGACCGACCTAGTCTATAGAGCGAGTTCCAGGACAGCTGGAACTACACAGAGAAACCCACAGAAGATTCATTTTTATTTTATATGTATGTGTAAGCACCCAGACATGCATGCATACATATCTGATGTCTGTGGAGGCCAGAAGCGGGTGTTGGATCCCTTGGAACTGGAGTTACAGATAGTTGTGAGCTACCTGGTAAGTGTCGGGAACCAAACTTGGGTCCTCTGTAAGAATAGCCAGTGCTCTTAACTGATGAACCATCTTCTTGTCAGTCCCCCACCCTGTTTTCCAAGACTTTCACCCATCTATTAGGCTAGGTCAGTCTGCCACTTACCTCCAAGGAGCTACCTAGGTCCACCTCCCCACTGCTGGGATGACGAATTCTTGTGCACTGAGCTTCTGCTCCTCTCCGTGATTGAGACCAAAGCCCCGTGGGACCGGTTGCTTGGGTTGTTTTTGCCATAGTCCCAGCTGTAGCCTCTGAACGTAATAATGTTCAGGAAGGGGCAGGATGGGAGGGGGCACAGGGTCTTAGCCTGCTCAAAAGCCTCGTGAGTCTTTCTGTCCTGAGCCCACACAACACTTGCCTAGTTACACAGAGGACCCATTGTTTGTTTGCTGTTATCTCCTCCCAAGTACTTTAGCACCTTGCAAACTAGATTGCTCAGATCTGCCAAAGCCTCTGCTACTCCATAAAGATCACATCCCGCCAAGGGACTCGACAGAGCCACTACATCCCCATACCAGCCTCAAGGTTGTGAACATAGTTCTGTGTGGCCTGGGGAGGGTCAAGCACAACTTCTCGGTCCCAGATCTCGTAGTAGGGCCTCTCCTTCCTCTTCTATTGTCCATCCCCAGACAGTTATGGGGACCACAGACAGAGATGAACACGTGTTCCTAATGGTTCTGATAGGCCAGCCGACTGGTTTCCTTTATACCTCAGGTTGTGCAGCCTTTTCCTTGAGGGATGGGTAGTTCTGTTGCTCATATTCTGCATCCACAGCAGTCAGGCTGATCCCATCCGATTCCACGTCCCACAGCCTCACAAGCCAGGCTGTGACAGGCTCTTCCATTGCTTCTCAAAGGATTCTCCACTTGCAGCGGTCTAAGTGCGGATTACCATAGTTTCTTGTACTAGGCCATAGTTAATACCTCCATCTGCATGCTGGTCCCATATTTTTTCCTTTTTTGCTATTAAAGATCAGACCCGAGGGGTACCTTCTATCACTTTTTATCATGTTCTCCTCCTCACTCTTATTATTCCCATGGCTTCCATGTTCTTGGATCCCAGGAAGGGCTTTTGAACATGGATCTGATTTTTATTTTCCTTTCGGCCTCTAAGCCCTAAGAAGTGGCAAGTCACGGCCTCTGTCTTGTTCTCTCGCTTACCTGACTAACTTGCCAGATCAGAGGGAGGCCCGCACGGAAGATGCTAGCTGACCTCCCTTTGCTGTTGCATTGCTCCTGACACAAACAAGTCCCTGCTTGGCTGCCATCTTGGGCCCAGGTGCATGTCTTACTACACACAGCGATGGCCAAGCTACCTCTTCCGCTGCTTGCCAATAACCTCTGCCCTGGTGTGCTGTCAGGGACTGCAGGATTTCCTCTCAACCCTTGAGCTCTTTTCAGGACATCTCCATAGTCATGTGGTGGACCCCACTTTATCAAGCAGGCGTGCCACCCATACCATGTGGATGAAGACTGTTATCTGGAATTCCCTTCACAGATAATCAAAACCCTAATGGCTCAGCCTTAGTTGCGTGTCTCACTACCCATACATAGTAAGAACCATAGCAGGAAGACACTATTAGCCAGGTGGTGGCGCACGCCTTTAATCCCAGCCCTTGGGAGGCAGAGGCAGGTGAATCTCTGTGAGTTTGAGGCTAACCTGGTTTACAAAGCGAGTTCTAGGACAACCAGAACTGTTACACAGAGAAACCTTGTTCCCCACCCCCCCCCAAAAAAAAAAAAAAAGACACTCTAATACAGCACATGGGAAGGGACATCTGTATTTGGAAATTTTCCCCATTCATAGGCTGCTCGGCTTCACTTAGATGACTTGCTACCCTGTACCTCCAGGACCATGTGCTTCTCTCCATTTCATCTTTTGTTCTGTCCTGGCCCTGTGGAGATGATGTGAGCAAATGTCTATTCACCCTAGGTAGGGAACTGAAGACAGATCAACGTGCAAATGGCATCAAAGTCCAACTTGTTGAACCAATGCGAGTTTTATTGGGATTACTTAGAGGGATGTGGGTGAGGTGTTATATAGGAGCAGAAATGACTCAGAGACACCCGCATCACCAAAGACCCATCCAAGCATATGTGGTAGCTCACAAAAGCTGGAAACCTGGATTACAACTTGAAGGCAGCTCAGCAGGTTAGAGAGTGGGTTTTTTTTTTTTTTTTTTTTTTTTGTTGTTGTTTTCCCCTACACAGAGATAGGGTTTCTCTGTGTAGCTTTGGAGCCTATCCTAGAACTCACTCTGTAGACCAGGCTGGCCTCGAACTAAACAGATATCTGCCTGCCTCTGCCCGCCGAGTGCTGGGATAAAGGCGTGCGCCACCACGCCCAGCTGGAGAGTGTCTTTTCCTTGTGGCTTGGTTGATCTCAGCCTCTTCCAGGTAGCTTAGCTTGTCTGAGTCTTCTTTGAAGCTTGGCTAGTCTCTACTTCTAAGCCTTCTAAGTGGTTGGGCTGTTGGAGAATCTTCTCCGGAGTCTTTACTGTTTATGTACTCTTGGGAAAATAGGGGCCTAATGAATCTGATCAGTTTTAGGAACTTCCTGAAGCTATTTTGAGTTTACTTGATGATCGTCCTTGCAGGATGAAGTATTTCACCTCATCTTAGAACAGCAGTTCTTAACCTGTAGGTTGTGACCCCTTTCTGGGTCTCATATCAAATATCAGATAGTTACATTATGATTCATAACTAGCAAAATTACAGTTATGAAGTAGTAATGAAATTTTATGGTTGGATTATCACAACATGAGGAACTGTGTTAAAGGGTCACAGCATTAGGAAGGCTGAGACCACTGCCTTAGGACATCCTGTTGTTGTATTTTTCTTTTCACATCCTGTGTCATAGTTTTATCTAAGAGGAAACTGTCCAACAACCCAAGTGAGCACCACCACACCCAGCTGACTATGTGAATGCTGGGGATTGAACTCGGGTCCCCATGCTAGCGGGTCCAGCACTTTGCCAACTTTTACTTCTTAGTCCCTGGGGGGGCTTGAACCATGTTTTTGATGTGAGCCTAAGCAGAATTTCTAGGATCTTGAGCACCTTGGGTGGACAGGAGCCAGAAGAGGAAAGCCTATGGGCTATTTCTTTGCAGAGTGCCACTTTGCCAAGGAGGTACATGCTGCGGGAGCCACGAGGGGCCCAGGAGCCCGCCTCCCGGCTACAGGTGAGAGGTGCCCGGTTTCTGGGCCCTGTCAGGGAGGGTATATTCAAGGGTATCCCTGCCCTGTCTTTGCCCTGTTGCCTTTAGACCCTTAATACTTCTTCCAGAAACTTAAGTCCTCTCCCACGTAGCCTTGGGCCTCTAATCCTGGGCTGTTCCCATTGTGTCAGCTCTGGTAGGGGGGGCTCATGCTCTACCCCCTCTCAACTTCTTCTTGTGTTTGCTCAGGAGACCCCAGACCCCTGGCAGAGTCTGGACCCTTTTGACTCCTTGGACTCTAAGCTCTTCCAGAAAGGTCAGTAGGATGGTGGCACCTCATTCATGTTCCCCTGCCTAGAGCTACTGAGTTCTGAGGTAGTGGATTGGAGGGGGCTCTGTATGCCCTTCCCTTGGCCACTCTGGATGCAGTCCCTCTGTGCCTCCAGGTAAGCCCTATTCTGTGCCCCCCTGTGTGGAAGAGGTTCCGGGACAGAAGCGCAAGAGGAAGTGTGCTACCAAGCTGCAGGACTTCCACCAGTGGTACCTGGCTGCCTGTGAGTGAGTGTGGCTAAGGTGGCACAGCCTTTGCCTGGGTGCCGGGATTCTGGCCCGGCTCTTGCTAACCACTCTCTGACAGATGCCGACCATGCTGACAGCGGGAAGCCTCGGCGAAAGGGCCCAACCTTTGCAGGTGAGGTGGGGTCCTACGTACCTGTTCAGGGAAGATAGTCCTTAACCGCCTTCCCCAGCTCCACCCCCATCCTCCCTGCCAGGGTCACTGGAAGTCCTGGGTGGACAAATGTGAGCTTGGGCTGGATAGGGAAGCCCCTCATAAGGTCTTTTTCTGCAGACATGGAAGTGCTGTACTGGAAACATGTAAAAGAACAGCTCGAGACCCTTCAGAAGCTGCAGAGACGGAAGGCAAGTACCCATAGTACTCAAGTCAGACTCCACAGGGCCTAGAAGGTGAGATTCCTCACAGATATTCTCTGGATAGGTGACTGAGAGATGGCTGCCCAGTGCCAAGGAGGATCTGTGGCCTGTAGAGGAGGAACGCTTGGAAGATTCCCTAGAAGACCTAGGGGTAGCAGGTAGGTGCCATCTGATGTGGGGTGGGTGGGGTCGGGGGTGGTGCTCTCAGTACCTGTTGCTGTCTGAGCAGCTGCCCCTGGTCACTTCTCCATGTCTCAGCAGACGACTTTCTAGAACCTGAAGAGTATGCAGAGCCTGAGGGGGTGATGCCTGGGGAAGCTGCTGACCTAGGTAGGTCTGGATTGGGAGCCCCTGAGATGTGCTGAGGGAGCAAGAGCTGCATGAGGGCAGAGTGTCTAGCCCCATAGCTGCAGCAGATCGTGGTTGGCCTTTCCAGATGCAGAGGCGATGCCAGAGTCCCTGCGATACGAGGAGCTGGTCCGAAGAAATGTGGTAAGCCTGGGTAACAGGTGGGAGTGGTGGGGCATCCTGGGCTCTGCGTGCAAGGGAGAACCCACTGGTCCTTCCGCAGGAACTCTTCATTGCCACCTCCCAGAAGTTTGTCCAGGAGACAGAGCTGAGCCAGCGCATCAGGGACTGGGAAGATACTATCCAGCCCCTGCTCCAGGAGCAGGTGAGGCATGCTGCTTGGTACTGTAACCGCCTGCCACCAGTTGGGGTTTGCTCAGAGCTGTCTCTCCACTGGAAGCTAACGCGTCCTTCCCCTGTGCAGGAGCAGCATGTACCCTTTGATATCCACACCTACGGGGACCAGTTGGTCTCACGCTTTCCCCAGCTCAATGAGTGGTGCCCCTTTGCAGAGCTCGTAGCTGGGCAGCCTGCTTTTGAGGTGTGCCGCTCCATGCTGGCCTCCTTGCAACTGGTGAGTGGCCTGGGACCCACGGGATGGATGGGGAAACACCCCTGGACTCTGCTGATGCCTCGTCTCCACAGGCTAATGACTATACGGTGGAGATCACCCAGCAGCCAGGACTGGAGGCAGCTGTGGACACCATGTCTCTGAGACTGCTCACACACCAACGAGCTCATACCCGCTTCCAGACCTATGCTGCCCCCTCCATGGCCCAGCCTTGAGTGGAGAGCACTGAGGCAGGGGTGGAAGGTAGTGTATACCTGGAAATCTTGTGCTCTTAATGTGCTGTGGGGCCATTTACTCCAGTGCTGCTTCCTGGCTGGCCTAGCCTAATAAAGTGGCGTTGCTACCCCTACCTGTTCACCTAACAAACCATTTAAATGGGGTGCGGATAGAGCACACACATACAGATTAAGTACGTTCATTTATTGACAGGGCTTATGTAGCATAGTTCAGGGCAGGATGCTACGGAAGGCAGCTATGTGCCGACGTACACTCTCTACAATCTGCTCTGCTGACCTGCTCCGCCCATAGTAGTCTGTGAAGAGACCATCTGGGTTGAGCAAGTAGATGGCAATGGAGTGGTCCACAATATAGTCCTGGTCCTCGTCCTTGGGACCAGCGCTGTAGTACACACGGTAGTTGCGGCTAGCCTGGGCCACCTGTTCTTTAGAACCGGTCAGACCCAGCAGCCTTGGGTGGAAGTCCTGCACATACCGGGCCATGGCTGCTACGTCATCCCGCTCGGGGTCCACAGAGATGAAGACGGGTTGTACCAGAGGCAGATCAGGCTCTGCCTCTAGCTTCTGTACCACCTTCACCAGCTTCTCCAGCTCATCGGGGCAGATGTCAGGGCAGTGAGTGAAGCCAAAGTACATCAGGACCCACTGGCCTCGGAAGTCAGCTTTGCATCGAGGCTGGCCGTGGTGGTCCAGTAGGCTGAAGTCACCCTGACCCACAGCAGCCTGGCGCAGGGCCTCGGTCCGCTGCTGTTGGCGCCACTGCTCCTTCTCAGCTCTTGCTGTCAGCCAGGCCCAGCCCAGCCCAGCCCCAAACAGGGCAGTGATCAGCAGCCTAGTTCTTAGGCCAGGGCCTTGGGGCTGGCCCTGCCCTGACAAGTGTCGGGACTTTACATGCAGAGTTTCACTTCCTGGGATCCGGAGAAGGACTCGAGGTTTGAACTGAGAGAGCCTGGGCCAAGCTTTGGGCCCTAGAGCCAGTAGCACCATGGACCTGAAGCCTCTGGAAAAGAACGGAGATGCCAGAAGTCAGAAAAGAGCAGACAAGGAAGGTGCCCGGGCCTCCACCGAGGGAGAAATTCATCCCCCCACATCCAAGCAGCTTGGCCAGCTGTCTGCATGGGCCCATCGGAACTCAGAACTGTTCCACCTCAAGCCTTCAGCTTCGGCAACACCAAATGTCCATAGATGGTTTGCTCCACACCTGTCACTCCTAGTTCTTTAACCTAGGAGCCTCGGCTTCATTACTGCAATCTATGGACGGACAGCCTGCACCTCAACTGCCAGGCTTCCCTCTGATGCCTGGAGGCATTCAGAATATGCTTTGCCTGGGCACCAGAGCACACGTGTCTATTTACAATAAATCTTTTAAAGGAAGGATGTTGATACTCTGGCTTACCACCTTAAAGGGGTAATCCTTTCTGGCCTCAGGGGTCACTACAGTGTGATCTGAGGCTCAGCAGAAAACCAGTGCCGTCAATGTCACACAGCCCAGCCCATTCATGCTCAGGGCACCATGGGCCCGTCTGTCCCTGAGCTGGCCCCTGGCACCACCCCGAGAAGATGGGACTGGTAAATATTAATAACACACCCCTTTTGTGAGCCCCAGCATCCGCACCTCACACTAGCAGGTCTCTAGCTCGCTGCAACGAAGTGGATGAGGCAGCAGCATTACGCTCATAGACAAATCGCAGAGGTCACGCGTTCACCGTGTCCCACCCACCCAGGCCCGCCCCTAGTGTGGGGGGCTTGCTCAACTGCGGGGACCCCCCCTACCTGCCTACGGTGGGGTCGGATTTAGGGCTGTGCGATGGTCGGGGGGAGGACTAGTTCAGCGAAGGGCGAAGCGGCCTTGAAGGGTGCGCGGTCCGACAGCACGAGCGCCCCCTGTAGAGCGCGGCGCTGCTGGCCGCTGAGCGCGGGGCCGTCCAGGTGTACGCGGAGCCAGGGTGTACCTGCACGAACGACGGAAGCGGTTACCTAGGTCACAGCGGGCGGGCGGCGGGCGACCGGGAGTGTGGGAGTGGTTCCGGGTTCCGGACGGCGCTCACCGCGGTGCAGCCACTGACCCACGTCGACCAGCAGCTCAGCACCCACTCCCGGCCTGATCGGCTGCCCCGCTCGGCTGCGTCCGGCCCCGAGCTCGTGAAGCACACGGGCCAGCGGCAACGCCAGGACGTGCTCCACGGTGCCTAAGGGAGAAGAAGACTGTCGCTGAGGAGCGGCGGGCGGACGCACGAGGGCAGGACCGGGAAAGAAAAGACGCGGAGAGGAAGTGGGTGGGTGGGGCCTGGCCGGGGATATCCGGTCTCACCGTCTGCCGGTGCGAGCAGCTCCTCTTGTTCTCTGGCGTGGGGCAGCAGCTGGCGGCGTTGCGTGGGGCTCCCGGAGCACAGGGCTCTGGCTAGGCCGGGGTCCACGCCCTGCGCCGAAAGCATCAGCTGGAAGCGGCGCAGCGCAGAGCCGTCATCCAACGCCGCGGCCACTCGGGCGGCGCCCTGGTCCTGGGTTTCCGCCTGTCCGCTAAGCCAAAGGATGGCGCCCCCTGCTGGCGGGAGGGATGGAGCCCAGAAGCTGCAGAAGCTGCAGAAGCTGCAGGGGTTGAGAGCTCCTGGCATGCAGATAGGTGGTCTTAACCCCAGCCCTCTCACCTAGCCTAATGACCAGGTCCCGTAGGTCCGGCGGCCCCGCACCATCCAGACAAAGCAATGCTTCTTCCACTTCCAGGGTATGACCCACGCTGCGGCCCAGAGGGTCATCCATGGCGGTCAGGGCTGCTGCGACCCGCAGCCCCAGGCCCATTCCTGCGCTAACCTGGGGAGGCACTACTCAGTGTCCAGCTGGCATTACCAAATTCCATGCCTGCTGCACCTGGGTTAAGATGTCAGGGACGGTTTGGGGTGGAGATCAGAAACCAACACTGCCGGGTGGTGGTGGTGATGGGGGGGGGGGTCTTGTGATCCATCCTAAGTGCAGGGGCTCTGTGCAGGATTTTCCCAGCCCAAGCTCAGGACAGCCTTGATTAGATAGGGTAGGAGGGCTGGAAAGGGGGATTGCCAGTTGGTTCTACCCGGATTATTGAGTGGGCAGAGGCAAGGATATGGCAGAAGGTGAGGTTCACATTCCTTCACAGAAAGGCCACAGAGGTCCAGCGGTGGTGGCGCACGCCTTTAATCCCAGCACTTGGGAGGCAGTGGCAGGTGGATCTCTGTGAGTTTGAGGCCAGCCTGGTCTACAGAGCGAGATCCAGGACAGCCAAAGGTACACAGAGAAACCCTGTCTCTCAAAACCAACCAACCAAACAAACAAACAAAAAAAAAAGAAAGAAAGAAAAAAGAAAAAGAAAGAAAAGAAAAAGGAAAGAAAGGCCACAGTGGCCCAGCACGGGCTCACCAACGTCTTTGCCAGCTCTCGGGCCTGCTCCTGGTCTGGGAAGACTGCAGCCCCCCCAAACTTAACATCTACCACCAGAGTGGATAGTCCCTCCACGACCTTCTTACTGAGGATTGATGCTGTGGAGAACAGAAACATCATCCCCAGGGTATGATACCTGGGGACAGAAGGGGTTGCCTCTGTGATAAAGGTGGCAGTGCCTAGTGGATTGTATGTCAGGGTACCCATATCAGGTCACCTGTAATGAGTGGCACGCTGTCCACAGTAGCTGTCACGTCTCGGGCAGCATACAGGATTCCATCAGCAGGGACCAGCTTCTCACTCTGGCCAACAATACAGCAGCCCACTTCCTCCAGTAAGAGCAGTATCTGTTCAGACACCTGCAGTGTGACCTCTGAGGAAGGACCCTCTCACTGGCCCTGGCCACTGACCCAGCCAAAGTTCAAAACATGGCCCGAGAGTGTCAATAATCTTTCTCTGATGACTGACCTGCCAAAGGTCCTGATTAGTTATAATACATTAATGATTAGCAGCTCATCAGTGTTTTCTACCCATTCCCCCAAGTAATGATCCTGATCAAAGTTCTTTTGATGACTCCAGCCAATCTACAATCAATAACCTTTAGGGAAGTCAGCATGCTCACTAGTGACCCAGATAAATAACCTATCTGTTGATCGTCCTGTGATTCTGGCCAGTGATTCTCCCTCAACCCAGATCAATGATAGATTAGTGGCCCACCTGTACCTGCTCTGGGCTCTGGGTGACATTGAACCCAGGAATAGACTCCAGCTTGTCCAGTGTGCCCCCTGTGTGCCCCAGACCACGTCCGCTGATCATTGGCACCTGGTGGATAGGAATACTGACTTTTCCTGCACCACTTCCCCTATCCCATTTTATCTCTCCACCAGTAAGAACTTCAGCTAAAATTACTTTTTTAAGCAGTTGTAATATTTTCAAATATTTTAAACAGTTCATGTGGGTGCCCAATTGCTGGAAAAAAAAATAAACTGTACTTGGTGGGGAGCAGTTTGCCAGTAGGGCAAGAGGCTGGCACTCATGTGTCTGGGACCCAAATTCAAGGGACAAGAAGAGAAAGACCCAGCTCTTCCTCTGAGGGTCCTGTTAGGTACAGAGGCAGCAGTATTCCATGGCGGAACTTGGACTGTATTGGGAGATTTTGTCTGGATTTTGTCTTTGAGAGCTTTGAGCCAGGCTTGAGGGTAGGAGGTGCCTGTGAGTGGGTCAGAGACTTGTAGAGGTGGCAGTCACTAACCTTGCAGCCACATGCAGCCAGGGCAGGTGCCAGAACCAGGCTGACCTTGTCGCCCACACCTCCTGTGGAGTGTTTATCCACAAGCTGCTGGTGCCAGGCCTTGGGCCACTCCAGTTGCTGCCCAGACTCTGCCAGGGCCTGAGTCAGCACAGAGGTCTCCTCTAGGTCCATGCCCTGCAGCCGAATGGCCATCAGCATGGCCCCTAAGTATGGACATATGAGTGAGGTGTTCCACAGAGCATGGGTTTTCTGGGGCCTGTGATGGTGATGGGGTATTGTGGATCCTTGAGGTGCCTATGGGGCAGTCAGGGGTCAAGGTTCAATTAGGGCTTGCCACACACCGATTTGTGTGTCCTGTGCACTGCCATCCATCACTGCATGCACGAAGTCCCTGATGTCTGCCTCACTCAGATGGCCTCCATCTCGTTTCAGGCAGATCAGCTCAGGCAGTTGCTTGGGTTCCCTACTCCCTCCCCCGGAGACGGTCCCAGCTGCCTCTGGGGTTAAGGGAGGTGGTATCCCTGGAGCTGCCATTGCTTCAGCCTGCAGGGGATATTGAGACACTGCTGGAATCTGCCTCCCTGTCCATGTCCCTGAAGCCATGGCCACTTGTCCCAACCTTGCTCCTATATGTTTCTGGTGCCCATCACTGACCCATGTCTTTCTTAACACCCGGCACTTTTCTCCCCCAAGTCTGGCTTCCATTTCTCGCCCTCACAACTTGACCCCAGTCCAGTACCTATTCAGCTCGGGGGCCTTTACCAGTTTTCTGGATCTGGCCGGGTCCCGACCTGGCATCCCTCAGCCCGGCGGCGTGGAGTTAGGTGCAGAGCAGACAAGCCACTGACAGGTAATTCTGGGACAGCGGGCAGATGGGGCGGTCCCAGTAGGCGGCACTTGTCAAGGGAAGGCCAATCACCACTAGAACTGCTCCTACGGGCTACCTTGTGGCCAATTGAAGGTGTTTCCGGGACCTTTAGGGCCAGGAGAGCGTGGCTCGGGACCAGAGACCTTTCGACCCACTTCTCTGGGGTCGCGATATCTATGGGTCCCGGGCACTGCTACCCTGTCCGACCGGTCGTTAGGTTCAGACACTCCCAAAGTTCGGACGCCACTGAGGCTATCGACGCTCGCACTCACCTCGTCCTCCCCCATGCCCTCACCCCCTGCCCAACCGCGGAGAGAGAGAAGCACACACACAGCGCTGGCTTGAAAAGCTTTAAGCAAACAACCGAGGGCCGGTGCGCGCCTGCTGGCATCAGTCGTTCACGCGGGGTATCATGGGGGCCAGATAGTCTGAGTGCCTGATTCCGAAGCTCCAGCCACGAGGCTTCCGGTGCTGCGGGCCCAGGAGACGCCGCTGACCTTACCAAGCCAGCCAGTCGTTCGGCTTCACACAGGAATGCCTGTTCCCCGGGGACCCTGTCTTAGCCCTCAGACCCTCATCCCCTGCCCCTTGACCCTGGACTGCAGACCACCTCGTCCACGCTGTAGCTTGCGGGTCCTGGCCTCTGAGTGCTTTCTTGGGGTACTGAAGTCCGCGGCAGCATGGTGAACTGCGGGGCTCGGTTCTTGTAGACCCCGGGGTTCACAACGTGGTAGGCACACGGGCCTGGGGTCTAGGAGGACGGGAGGAGGGTGTTGGGTCCAGCCTCCATTCCTTGTGAGCTACTGATCTCCTCCTCCGCTCCAAGCTAGAAGCTCACTGTGTACCCCAGGCTGACTTTGAACTCACGATCCTCCTGCCTCAGTTTCCTGAGTGGTGGAGTGCCAGGCGTCCTTCACCACCCCCATCGCCACTGACCCTCTTGATTACTAGAGACGTTCGGCTGGCAGCCCTTTCCCCACCTTGCTGAGGTCCTCGAAGCAGCTGCCCACATTGCTGCGGCCGTAGATGGAGTAAGTTGGGGCTGAGACTTTGCCTATGACACGTGGGCCCAAGAGCGAAGGCACAGTGTAGGACCCAGGGCCTAAGGAGGAGCCAGCAAGAGGTTATATGTTGGACTAATCTCCTTGCCTTTATGGCAGACTGCCGGTTGGGGTGTGGGAGGGTCCCTAGTGCTGGATCCAGCCCTCCGGCCTCACCTGGGGTTTGTTGCTTCGTGAGAATGCCCCAGTTTCGGGGAGCGATGGTATGCCGGGGAGCGCTGGGGTACGTCGCGTTTCCCGAGCGTTCTGGGAAGTACCTGCCTAGGGGATGGACCAAGAGTGTGGGCCAGAACTGGGGTGGGGTGGGGTGGGGTGGGGTATGGGGAGCCTAGCCTGGGATCTTGGCACTAGGGAGAAATTGGAGCCACAGTGAGGTTCGGGTTTCTGGGTATGGGTGCGCGGGGCGGGGTGGGGGGAGGTTCCCGGGATTCTGGGTTTGGGTGGGGAGTTCCCCAGTGGGCTTCCTCGGAGGCAGTTCCACCACGGGGAGACCCGTGCCCCAGGGTGCTGACCCGGTCCCGGAGTGAGGAAGGGCGCTGTGTGGCGTAGGCGACCATAGATGGAGAATGCCGGGGCGCCGTCGGTGCCGCGCACGGTCATGCGGGCGGGCACCAGATGGCTCGGCCCGGGCCCGCAGGTTGTGTGCTGCAAGGGCAGGCGCGAGCCGAAGGTGAAGGCGGGGGCTCGCGGCCGAGATGGGTCGTGCAGTTTGTAACCTGCGGGAGCATCCCCGCGTCACCTTCGCGGTGCACAGCGGCCGCCAGCTCCTCTCCCTCCCTCTTTTCACCGAGGCAGTCCCCAGCACAAACCCTCCTATCTCTTGGCCTCCCTTTTTGCTCCGGGCACAGTCCTCCGGTTCCTGGATTCCAGGCACCAGTGTAGACCGCCCACAGTCCCACCTTCCCTACTTCCTCCCCGGTATCCGCCCTGGCTACCGGTGTTCGGTGGCAGCTTGTATTTGGGCCCCGGGCCTCTGTAGAGCGCCGCGATGGGGCCGCGGGGCCGATGTGGCCGCCAAGTGCCGACCCAGACTTCTGAGCCCATGGCGCAGGCGCGGGGGGCGCTTATGGCTTGCAGCACCTGTGGACAGAATTCGGAGGAGACAGGCTTCCCCAGCTCCACTCAGGGCCAGCACGACCGAGGGCAGGGCCTAACATGTATCCCAGGGCACCCGGAAAACAAACAGCAGTTTCCTAGGCTGGGAGGCGGGTGCACTGGGGGCAGGATCAAGCTTCAAAGCCATCTCTTGGCCTCCTGTCCCAGGGACTTCAGTGCTAGTGTTTAAGTACAGGCCAAGTTTGGACCCAGACATTGGAAAGAGAATGGCCTGGAGTTTCTGGGTGGGAGAGGGGTTTTAGAGGTGTTGGGAAAGGATGTCCTGGGAAGGGGCCCTGTAGGGGCACAGGGTGCCCCGAGGAAAGACCCGGAGATGCACTGACCTGCGGTGGTGGTTACCCTCTTGAGAAAGCATAGCAGAGCAGCTTGACAACCCTTTCATGAAACTCTCAGGCCCCATTATGTCCCGTCTTGCTTCCTGGCAACCAGAGTAAGTGCCTGGCCCCACCCTCCGGTGCCGGTGCCTTCAGCCCTACCATCTGATCGGTGCCTTCAGCCCTACCATCTGATCGCCTGCCCCTGCTGGGACGGTGTGCTGGGCCACAGGCCAGCACACCCTTCCCAGAGTTAGACAGATCTGCAGACGAAAAAAACAAACTTAAAAATAAAGGAATAATACAGACAGCTCAGTTTAATTATGTATCTATGTAAGCCCACGAAATATTTGCAAAAACGAATGTTTTTGTCCAGAAAATAATAAAAGTTGAATGGAGAGACAACAATGTATGATTGTATCACACTCCAATACAAATTCTCAATGAACAATTTTTTTAAGTAAACAAAACTTCGGGATTAAAGACAGGTGGTGGTGGTGGTGCACGCTTTTAATCCCATCACTCAGGAGGCAGAGCCAGGCAGATCTCTAGGAGTTCGAGGCCAGCCTGGTCTATAGAGCAAAATCCAGGACAGGCACCAAACTACACGGAGAAACCCTGTCTTGAAAAACAAAAACAACAACAAAAACCAAAAAAACACTTCGGGATTAAAAGGAAACTCAATCCTTGAGTTACAAATAATATAAAATACTTGAGGAAAACTGTATAGGATACTGCTGAAGTTGTATTCAGAGAAAAATTTATAGACCTAAGATAACTGTTAATAAAAAATTTAATGTTTAATGACATTTAGAATTCATTTTACAAGTAGGGAAAAAACAAAAACCAAACCAAACCACAGCAGAAAAAAAGAAAAAGAAAAACAGTGGAGTAAGTCTGTATTTCTAACTTGGGCAGGAGGATCCTCAAGTTCAAGGCCAGCCTGGGATACATAGTAAGATCATGCCTCAATAAAAACAAAATAAAATGCAACAAAAAGATACTAACAAAACAGGCAAAGTGATAAAGATCTATTGATGACACTTCAGGGAGCTTGGTAAAGGCAAAAATAATAGCCAACAAAATTAGATACCAGGCTACACGTGGTGGGGCATACCTGATATCCCTGTACAAGACAGGTTGGAACTCTGAGTTCAAGGCCAGCCTAGTCTACACAGTGAGTCTCTAGACTCCCTTATGTATAGAATCTGCAATTGAGGGTAGTTTATCTTTTCCCATTTGTGTCCATTTTTATTCCTTCTTTTGTTTTATTGCTGTAGCTAAGACTGTAAGAAATATGCTGAATAAAAGTGAAGAAAGTAATCATTCTGTCTTGTTCCTGGTTTTAGTGGAAATGCTTTCATTTTTTTTCTCTTTAGTATGATATTGGCTGTTTATTTAGTATGTTTGTCATATATACTCTTTATTGTGTTAAAATATATCCCTTCTGTTCCTAGTTTCTTTGGGGATTTTATCAAAAAAGGATATTGGATTTTGCCAAAAGCCTTTTCTGCATCTATTGAGATGACCTTGTGACTTCTGTCTTGGAGACCTTTTATGTTTGTATTATTAATTGATTCACATATGTTGCCGAGCCATGTCTCCAGCTTACGATTTACATTTCTATTTCATTAATTTTTGTTGTGATAGATCTTGATTATTTCTTTCCATTTACTGCCTCTGTTTTTGTTTGTTTGTTTGGTTTTTTTTGTTTTTTTGTTTTTGTTTTTTTTTTTTGAGACAGACTTCCTATATAGTCTGGCTGTCCTGATCAGACTGGCCAAAAACTCACAAGCGATCCCCCTGCCTCTCCCTCCCGAGCCCCCCACATGACCCTCATTCTTTGTGCGTTTGTTTGTGTTGATTTTTGCATTCCCTCTCCCCTCTGTGGCCTTCCTGGCTCTTGAACTCCCCTGGATCTTCAGAAGCTGTGTGGGGCTGGCAAGGTACTGACTGGCCCGTAGAGAGGTACAGGGAAAGTGCCAACTACGTCTACTGAAGGTCCGGGGTCTCCAAACTTAACGGCGGCGGAGCCTGAGAGCAGGACAGGGAGTAAGGGCAGGAAGGTCCTCTGCTGGGTGAAGTCCACCTTAAGGTGTAGGGCTCACCCCATCCTCTCACTGTCACTTAATAGTTCTGTGGGAAGCGGGGATGGGACCAGGCCAGATGAGATACTTGAGGCCCAGCAGAGCCCAGGCTAGGTGCCAGGGACACCCTTGCCACCTCCTTGATGCCTAAGTCAAGGAGTCCTTGGGTCCATTGTGTTCCAGAGGGAGAAAAGGTCCACTTCTTGCTGGGAGAGCTGCCTTTATTCTGGGGACTCCCATCTCTTTTTCTGTGTGTCTGGGTCCTCCCGGGCAAATGTCTGAAGACTCACTCCTGATATGGATTTCAGTGATGCGCAGATAGGGAAGGCCCAGCCCTGGTACCCACATGCCATTCCATGAGAACCAAACTGGGGGAGGAGGTGGGGTGGAGAGTGATTTGATTCAGATAGGAGAGGTTTAGGAGAGGACACGTGGGAACTGGACTGGTAGGGCACCTGGGCCGGAGAGGGTTTCTGAAGGATCTGGGCACGGGTTGATGAAGTGACTGGAGGAGAGGCTATGCCCTGTGCTTTTCTGAGGCATGCTGGGGCGGGACATGAGCAGGCCAAGAGTGAAAGGAGGCCAGGGGGCTCCACCCACATTTAAGTTAGGGTGGAAAAAGACCGGCCACAGAGGGAGACAGAACGTTTAGGTTTTCTTCATTCTTTCTCACTTTCATTTTTTTCCCTCTTTATCTTGGAGCAATGTTTGGAGGAGGGAGGACGAGACCTTCACCTGTCCCACCCCCAGATGCTAACTCACATGACCCTCATATCCCGGGGTCTCCATGTTCAGTCTGAGAGCCCACCAAAATAACCACCCCCGACACCCTTCCCTGGTGGCCATGGTGGAATTGGCCTCTCCGGTTTCTGGTAACTTCATCGGGGCTGCATCATGTTGCTAAGGCCCGATAACATCTCCCCGGGTGGTAACCCTTCCTTGTCGGAGCTCCTGCGTAGCCTCTAGGGTGTAGGGTGATTTGGGGATAGGAGGGTCTTTAAGGCAGAAGACGGTGGAGTGGAATGCTGGCAGTGTGTCCAGGGACACTTTCACTTGTCCCTAGGACCCTGAGCAAAGAAGGAGGGGGAAGGGGCCGGGATTGGGCTATACAACCAGGGCAGGCTGCGGTAGACCACAGGCTCTCTTGATATGTCTAACTGGGTTTGCTGGCTGGCAAGCCTGCACACCGGGACGCCAGCAGGTGTCCCTCAGGGGCCTAGAGAGGCAGTCCACCTTAACAGGGCTGTCCCAGGGGAGCTGCGTGCCGTGCCATCTGCACAGCCAGCAGCCCGAGTTGGGAGTGGGTCACGCAGAGCTGCCAGCCAGAACGGGCTCCTCACAGCAGGTCTGCAATCTGCACCATGCTCCAGGGCGCTGTAGACGCTGGTGGGCCCCTCTGGGGCTGGGACGATGATGGAGATGACGACTGGGATGGGGCCGTGCTCACCTTGCTGGCACTAGCTGTGGTAGCCACCATGGCACTGGCTCTGCAGTGGTTTGGCTCCAGGCAGGACCAGGAGGCGCAAGGCTCAGCATCCACAGCTCCGGGTACGCGACCTGCTCAGGCCGGAGGAGTCAGGTTGGCCCTGCACCCCAAGTCCAAGGACAGTGATGCCAGTGAGGGGCCGAGCAAAGGACAGGAGAAATCAGAGGCTCCTGGAGATGGCCAGAGAAGACCAGCTACAGCAAGGGCCCGGGACCTGGAGCCGTCAAGAGGCAAAAGTATGGCCTCAGATGCCTGGCTTTCACTCAAGACACCTGGAGAGGTGGCCGGCAGAGGGACCACCCCAGCCACCCTGGGAAAGAAAAGAAGGGAGCCACCCGGGCCAGAAACTTCCTTTCAGGGTCACCACAAAGCAAGGGATATTCCTGTCCCCATCACGATCCGCTTCACCCCTCGAAGTCCTGATAGCAAAACAGAGATGCAGGTAGAGGCCACTGGCACCGGTGGTAAAGGGGCTGCCCAGCAGGGCCCCGTCCATACCGAGCAACAGGACACCAGCCCTTGGCACCTGCCTGTGGGGCCTCCTGGCCCGCCAGGGAGAAGCCTAGGCAGCTTGCGTAGGCGGCGGCGGCGGACCGGTGCCAGCCCAGGAGACAGACCCTGCCGTCCCCTAAAGCTGGACCCCCTTCGCCTGGGCACTGTGGTGAGTGTGTGGGATGCTGTGGATATGGCAGCTGCGGCCAGCCAGGACATCTTCACCAGCAGTTCCCTTGCAGGTCCCTCACCGCTCCACTCAGACAGGGGGCTCAAGGGTCCCGAGGAAACAGGCCTAGCTGATGGTATGGATGGTCGACCTCGGGTGGACTCCAAGGACGTGTGTGGGAGGAGCGGCCTTCGGCTCTCTCCCACCAGCACGGCAGGCTCGGGGGCTAAGGATGGTGAGAGCAGGGAGCCTGGGTCCCCTGCCCCTAGGGAGACTCAGGGGATCCTGGCTGGTGAGGAAGCCTGGCCCCGGGAGGGTGGGTCAGCTGCTGTCACCAGCAACTTCAGCCCCTCCCAAGGGGCCTTGCCAGAAGAGCGGCACCCTGAGGCTTCGGAAGTGGACCGAATCGCTGACCAGAGCAAGATGGAGGAACCAAGAGAGGGCCACCTCATCGGCAAAGGGAGAGGGTCCGGTCAAGGCGACCAGAGAGCTGGCAGTCCAGCTGCTGCCCAGAGGCTTGTGCTTATCACCGATGTGACCAAGTCCACTGGTGGCCTCAACTGCACCCCCTCCCACAACCTTCCAGCCTCTCCTCTGACCCGAGAAACTGAGCTGGTTCCATCCTCTGCCATGGCGGTGCATTCCAGCCCTGGGTTTCTCCATGCAGTCTCTCCCCTTGCTCCTTTAAACAATTTGCCCCTGGAAGTTAGCCGGGGTCCTTTGGGTGGTGAAAATCACAGACCAGGGCCAGCCTCCCTTCCAACCCAAACTTTAGCCTCAGCGGGAGCCTCGACTTCAGCCCCAGAAGCAACCCAAGTCCCATCCTTAACATCACCCCCAACCCCAACCTCAGCCCCATCCTTAACCCCAGCCCCAGTTACAGTCTTAACCCCAATCTCAACACCAACCCCATCCCCAACATCACCTCCAACTCCAGCCTCTGCCCAAGTTCCTGCAGTAGACAGTGGGCCGAGGCCTATGTCTAGGGAGTCTAGTGTGGGCCTCTCCGAGAGCTCCCTGGAAGGACGAATCTCAGCTAGCTGGGGAAACCTTATTACCATGGTTCTTAAAAGTCACCCCTTCCCTAGGCAAGAAAAGGGTGATAGTAGTGCCCCAAGGGCAGATCCTCAGAGTCCTGCTGGGCCCAGCACATCCACATACTTGGAAGATGGACAGCCAGGTCCCCCCTCTGAAGGGGCTGTCTCCAGCCTCCAGGACAAACACAGACCACCGTCGGTCTTAGTCACACCAGTAGGTTCAGAGGGCCTAGCTGAGGGTAGATATGAAACACAACCAGTGAACGTGGACACTAATGTGTCTTCCACTCCAGACCCTAGAGGAGACGGAACCAAGGAGAAAAGTCTAGACTCTCTGCCCCCAGCTGCACAGCCTGTGGCTGTCTCACAGTTCCCTGGGCTGGCACAGCCTGGTCCTGGACCATCTACTATGAAGCAGGATGCTCAGCCCACCCCTCAGCCTCGGCAACGGAGGAAACGTAGCATAGCTCAGAGCGCTGAACAGATAGTCACTCACGAAGTACCCCAGCAGCCCCAGGGGCAGGTGCTAAAGGAGGGAGCCAGACCTGCAGGCGGCAGGGCAGTCCTCACAGAGAAGCAGAAAGAGACACAAAAGCTTATGATTTTTCTGCGGAAGCCTGGTAGTTGGGGAGTGGTGGATGGGCATCAGAAGTCCTGCTCACCGGCCTCGCAGCCTCCCACAATGATGGCGCTGTGGCCCCCAAAGCTAGACCTAGGCAGCTGCTTGGAGGTCTTGGCTTTTGCCCAGCAGCATGGAGAGCTGGGTTTAGCCCAGGAGACCTACATCTTGATGAGCAACAACTTGCTGCATGTTCTGGGAGACCCACACCTCTACCGACAGCTGAGCGGAGCTGACAGGGAACGCATCCTGAACCTGCGGACCTGCCAGGGCCAGACGGTGCTGGGGGTCCTTGTTCTGCCCAGCCTTTATCAGGTGAGCCGCTCAGGGCTCACGAGGGGCCCTCCTGGCGAGGAGGCTCCTGCAACCGGGCCTGAGCATTCGCATCTTCACACATACCTCCATGTGTTCAACCCACGAGAGAATGTGTGGCGGCCCCTGACTCAGGTCCCAGAGGAGGTCCCGCTCCGGGGATGTGGTCTCTGCACCATGCATAACTATCTGTTTCTGGCAGGTGGCATCAGAGGTTCTGGTGCCGAGGCTGTCTGCTCTAACAAGGTGTTCTGCTACAATCCTCTGACCAACATTTGGAGCCAGGTTCGGCCCATGCAGCAAGCCCGGGCCCAGCTCAAGTTGGTGGCTCTGGACGGGATGCTTTATGCCATTGGTGGTGAGTGCCTATACAGCATGGAGCGCTATGACCCACGCACAGATACCTGGACCTTGAGAGCATCCCTCCCCGAGGGCACCTTCCCTGTGGCCCACGAGGCTGTGGTCTGCCGAGGAGATATCTATGTCACCGGGGGTCATCTCTTCTACCGCCTGCTCAGATACAGCCCAGCCAAAGACTCATGGGATGAGTGCCCTTACAGCGCCAGCCACCGACGCTCCAGTGACATGGTGGCCCTCGGGGGCTTCCTGTACCGCTTTGACTTGTTGCGGGGTGTAGGTGCTGCCGTGATGCGCTATAACACAGTGACAGGCTCCTGGAGCCGGGCTGCCTCCCTGCCCCTGCCTGACCCCGCCCCGCTCCACTGCACCGTACTGGGCAACACCATTTACTGTCTCAACCACCAGGTCACCGCTACCTTCACAGTTTCGGAGGGGACTGCCCAGTTCCAGGCCAAGGAGCTGCAGCCCTTTCCCCTGGGAAGTAAGGGGGTCCTCTATCCATTCACTCTGACTTTGCCCCCCAAGACCTGGTTACAGACCACACTCTGAGTGCTGGGGGAAAAAAAAAACAACTTTGTGGCTGCTCTCCAGAGAAACCCTTCTCTGGGTGGGTCTGAGGGGACCTGGGGCGTGGAAAGAAGCCTAGGAGCAGAACTTTCTGCTCTTGTGCCCAAAGCTCCCCCTGTCAGGTTGTTAATTCTCTCTGAAGTGCAATCTCTTCTAATCTTGGAGCCCTGGCTATCTTAGTCCCTCTTGGCTCCCCTATGCCCACTGGTTGTGGCCCCAGGTCCCACCTGCTGAGGATGTCTTGTCTTCATCACAACCCTGTCTGTGGGATTCTTTGAGCTCCCTATGTTCCCCAAGATGGAAAATGAAGCAGAGCTCCTCAGGAAACATCCCCTTTCTGGGATTTTTGCTATCCTGAGGCCCTTTAGGAGTCTGGGTGTGATCAGGTGGTGGTGGGGCAAGCCTTTAATCCCAGCGCTCAGGAATTCAGGAGGCAGGGGCAGGAGGATCTCTGTGAGTTCGAGGCCAGTCTGGTCTACAGAGTGAGATCCAGGATAGCCAGGGATACATAGAGAAACCCTGTCTCGAAAAACCAAAAAAAAAAAAAAAAAAAAGAGGAGGAGTCTGGGTCTGAATGGCACCTGTCTTATCCCTGATTGGACAATCGCTCTGCTGCCCACAGTCCCAGCCCAGATTGGATCAGGACCATTGGACATGTTGTGAGCCTCTCTCCAAATCTCTGGACCCCCACACCACTTCTTTCAAGCTCTCCTCTAGATGAGCCCTGCATTTTACTCTAGTGATACCTGTTGCTACCTGTGTGAACCAGGAAAGGCACTGAACACTCCTCTGGACACCTGCCATTCAGGAGATCCAGGGGGACAGGATCCCAGTGGCCGTCTGGCCTGGTGCCTGGGGCAAACCACATTTGAAATGACATGCTTTCTCCTTCACCCACTGAAGCCCACTTTAGGCAGGGAGAGAAATCTGAGTTCTGCTGCTGGTCCTGGCCTGCAACCTGGTTGATCCCAACTGGGCCATTGTCTGCATTTAAAAAAAGAGAAATTCAGGGGCTGGAGAGATGATGACTCAGTGGTTAAGAGCACTAGTTACTCTTCCAGAGGGCCCAGGTTTGAGTCCTAGAATCCACATAGTGGCTCACAACTGTCTGTAACCCCATTCCTGGGGATCTGACACCCTCTTATGGTCTTTGTGGGCACTGAATACACATGGTACACAAACATCCATGCAGTCAAAACACCCATCCACATAAAATAATAAATATTTTCAAAAGAAATGATTTGCTGTTCTTGTGAGGGAAATGCGTGTGTCGTGGTGCAGGTGAAGGGGTCAGAGAACAGCTCTGTGGAACTGCTTTTCTCCTGTCCCTTTGTGTAGTCCTGGGGACTGGACACAGTCTTGAGTGTCGAGTGCCTGTGTCTGCAATCTCACCAGCCCCGTTCCCCCTTCTTCTGTTCGACACTCAGAACAGCTGACACCAGCAGGTGTTTGGCCCACTGAAAGCATCCTCCTCACACACTTGTCATTCTTTGCTCACAGAGTCTGATGTGAAGTTGTGTCAATCACAGTGCAAGACAGAAAGGGGTCCTTGGTTTTGCTTGAAAATAAATTTATTGAGAAACAAGTACTGTGTACACAGCTACACATCTGGGCCGCCTGGCCCACGCCCCTGGCCTCTGAACTCAGGCTGGGGACAGTGGTGGCTCACTGCTTGCGTTTGGTCTCGGTGAGTAGCTCTTGCCAGTTCTTCTCCATCTCCTCTTTGCAGTTGAGGAAGGCATCCTCCAGCCGGCGCATGGACTCTGCTAGTGTGGGGTTGGTACGCATGACCACCATGTCGTAGGCCATCCAGGTTGCCTGCACTACAACAACCAAAGAGGCCCAGTCAGGTGACGGGTGCTGAAGCTCTGGGGGGCCATGTACTCAGCTTTAGGGGCCAGACCCTGGGGGACACAGAGTATCCCAAGAAGAGAAGGCTTATAGGGTGCTATAAACTCCCTATAAAACTTTCTACAATAGCAATATGGCACCTCTTAATATTCTAAAAGTCTTAACTTCTCAGTACTTAAGCCCATGACAGTAACAAGCTGGAGGCTGGTCTGATATGGAATGGGAGGAAAATTAGAGCAAAACTGGACCCTTACCTGTATGTATGTAGTTCTTAGCTAATGGTTTGCATGGTAACTCTTAGGAAGTCATGATTTTTACCCACGCTTACATGCTCAAAGTAATCCAACCATTTCTAGACCCCCAAGACTCAAATGATGTCTTTTCTCATGCTCAGTGACCTGAGGCACCTTTCTACCTGTCCTGACACCAGGAAGACATGGGACAGGCCTTCTCCTGGGAAGGTTAGGTTGCTTCCCTGTTAAGCATCCCTAGCACTTCCCACCACACAGAGAAGCATCTCTGCTCTTTCTCAGAACAACTGGAGGACAGCTGGGCCTCTTAGGTGAGCACTCTTGTGCAGACTCAGTGGAAGTGTGCGCAGAACCCATTCTGCAGCAGCCACTTCCGGTGCAGCTCTTCCCTCTAGAACTGCACAGAACATGGTCTGCCCCTCTGCCCAGCTGAGCGCAGCAGACATCTCCCGCTGAAATTCCTCCACTGCGGTAAAGAGTAGTGGATACTTTGGGAAATGAGAACTTTAAGGAAATTACCAATGAGATTATAGGAAGATGGTTAGTGCTAGGTGTGCATGTGTACATATATGCAAGCAACATTACCACAGACTTGAAGTAGTGGAGAGAAGCATATGTTTAGTTATGGAAAATTACTTACAGGGGCTCAACAGGTCCTACAACTCTATTACTAGCATAAGGAGTTTTAATTTTTAAATTAGAAGTGGCACTTGGGATACTTCTTACAATGTAGAGCCCTGGCCCATTCTACAATACAGAGTTTTTGTCTAGCAGGCTGTGGATCATTCTAACACCAAGGGTCTGCAGATCACCCTTTCCAAATGTCTGGCAGCTGATGACATATGGATCTGGAAGCCAGAGCAGGGTCTGCTTCCCTTCTCTCTGCCTGCTAGCTATGGGACCTTAAACAAGGGAGCAAATTTGCTAACTCAGGCTCCTCATTCACAAAATAGAGACTATCTATTAGCTGCCAGTGAGAACCAAACATATGCTACACGAACCACTTAGCACAGGTTATGGACTGAATGTATGCATCCCTCTACATTTATGTACTGAAATATGGTCCCGTGTAAATGGTATTGGTGATGGGCCTCCGGGATGGTAGAGCCCTCATGGCTCATGGGCTTGGTGTCTTTATAAGAGGGCCGAAGCACTTGCAGTTGGCCATGTGAGGACACAGTGAGAAGGTGGATGACCGTACAAACATGGACGAGACTTCTCACCAGATAACTCGCTGGCACCTTGACCGTGGATTTCCCAGACTCAAGGACCAACCGTGAGAAATAAATGTTTATTTTTAAAGCTACCTTGTTTGTGGCCATTTGTTATAGCATCCCCAGATGATCAGTCAGAAATTAGTACCAACAAGGAGAATGTTTCTATAACAAACACCTGAAAGTATGGGAGCAGCTTTGGTGGTGGGAAGAGGTGGCTAGAGGTGTTTTGGTTTTGTTTGTTTAATAATTTTTAGTGGGCATTGGTGTTTTGCCTGCATGTCTATCTGTGTGAGGATGCCAGACTTCCTGGAGCTGGAGTTACAGACAGTTGTGAGCTGCCATGCGGGTGCTGAGAATTGAACCCAGGTCCTCTGGAAGAGCAGCCAGTGATCTTAACCGCTGAGCCATCTCTCCAGCCCAATGGCTAGAGTTTTGAAGCATATAGAAGTACATGATAGAGCACTGCCATGAAGGGAGTTTTGAAAGTGATTCTGGTTCAGGAAGAAAAGAGGAATTTGGAGAGAAACTGTCTTCAGAGAGAATGTATGTAACCCTGGACAGGATGCTAAAGCCATTCTGATGAGCACTCAGATGGAAACGGGGAATATGTTATTGGGAAGAATAAGTGGCCCTTGTCATAAGTGTCAAGAACTTGGCTGTATTGTGTTCATACTCAATATTTTGTGGAATGTAGAATTGTAAGCAATGAAACTGTATACCCAGATGAGGAGAACTGCTTAAAATTAGAAACTTTTACTGTAAAACAAATAATTTAGGTATTCAGGGCAAAGGCTTAAGATAGGAAAGATGATAACATCAGGGGATAAAAGTAGCTCAAAGAAATGAATCTCATACAGTACCCACAGCACCCAGAATTTGAACTCCTCTGAGCTTCCTAGACCAAAGTAGTGAAAGAAAAAACTTCTTTTATAAGGCCCAGTGCCTATAAAAGAGACACAAATACACTCTTGAAAACACCTCTGTTCTGGAGCTCTCTGTCTTAGTCACCTCCATTGCTCTGAGAAGACATCATGACCAAAGCAGCTTTTAAGGAAGCATTTAATTGAGGGCTCGCTTACAGTGTCAGAGGGTGAGTCCATGACCCATCATGGCTGGGAGTATGGCAGCAGGCAGGCAGGCATGGTGATGGAGAAGTAGCTGAGAGCTCACATCTGATCCACAAGTTGTAGGCAGAGAGAGAGAGTGAGACTGGGCCTGGCATGTTGATTGGGCCAACAAAGCCACACCTCCAAATCCTTCCCAAACACTTCCATTACCAGGGACCAAGTATTCAAACTTATGAGCCCATGGAGGACATTGTCATTCAAACCACCACACACTCCATAGCATGCACAAAGCCTCGGTTTGATTCCCAACATGGGAAGAATAAAAACTTTCAGAATAAAAAAAAAAAATCAACAAAAACAAACAAAATGAAACAAGAACTCCATCCTAAGAGAAAAATTCCCAAGGAGGTTCCTCTGTGAAGAGTATTTGGGGGCTGGAGAGATAGTTCAGTGGTTAAGGGCATTGCTTTTCCAGAGGACACGGGTTTAATTCCCAGCACCCACATGACCATTCACAACTGTCTATAACTCCAGTCCCAGTTTCTGATGCTCTTTTCTGGCCTCTCTGAGCATTGCAAACACAGTTCAGGACGTAC